TATATATATATAATTTGTGATGATTTGTTTTTTCTGTGAAACAAGTACTACATATTAGACATTTCAGTTCCTGTAGGTGATTATGTGATATGTATAATGGCAAACTGAATTTATCTTAACAGTATTTTAGGGCTACAGTAGTATAAAAGCTACTAAATGAGGGAAAAGGTCTTTTTTAGATGGAATTTGCCAAGTGTCTTCTTTGGAAAAGAGGGTTTTTTAAAAAGTGTGTTTTCACTACCATTTGTGCTGCTGGGTTCTGGGGCTCTGGAAAGAGAACACAGTGTTGTCACACTAGCACCAATGCTAGGAGCTGAGGCTCCTGGGCTGTGCTTGAGGGAGGTACATTTAGTCTTTGAAGGAGTTATACTCCTCCAGATGGTGCCTATAGATAAGCCAGTGTGTGTGACAGTGCCAGGGCTGAAGTAGAGGCAACAAACCTAGGAGTGGCTATTGATCTATAGAGCCATCTGTCACCTCTGTAGGTCCCAGTGAGATGGGAGGGAAGGAGAAAGGGAAAGTTTTAAATGAAGGAAATTCATAGATTATAGCAGAAATGGAATTTCTCATACATTGTGACTAAGCTTCAGGTTTCATTTGTTTTTGACCTGATCCTATAATATATTATAGGATGTATAGCCAAGGGAGCCTGGAAACCAAAGTTTAGAGTTAAACTCAATTGAGTTTGCTTTTCCAAAGACAAAGAGATATCTGTAATTTTTCAAGTAGGACAAAGCGTGGTAAGTGTGGACAGTGGCATGGAAATAGACATGTTGCTCAGTCTGTTTGCTCAGGGAGTAAAATTATTAGCAACACTAAGACCAGAGGAATAGCTCTTGTAGGGCACAATATCCTCAGCAACATTCCAGTGTTATGAATTTCCAGCCATGTGTTTCTCTGGAATAGATGAATTCTAGATAGGGAAGAGGGACGGGAGGGGAAGGGAGGGGGCAGGGGATTAGCAAGGATGGTGGAATGTGATAGACATCATTATCCAAAGTACATGTATGAAGACACGAATTGGGTGTCAAAGTACTTTATATACAAACAAAGATGAAAAATTGTGGTATATATGTGTAATAAGAATTGTAATACATTCTGCTGTCATTTATTTATTTATTCGTTTATTTATTTAAAAAAAAAAGAAGAAGAGGCACTAGCCTGGAGTTACTGGCCCAGCTGTGGAGAAAGGTGCATAATGTGCTAGCAGAGCTGCTGACACAATGCTCTCTTGTTCTGCAGTTACATCCAGTGATCAAGGCTTTCCTGTGTGGCTCCATCAGTGGGACCTGCTCTACCCTCCTTTTCCAGCCCCTGGATCTCCTTAAAACACGCCTGCAGACTCTCCAGCCCTCAGACCATGGGTAGGACCTGCTGCTCCACATTTCACTGAGGCACTGGGCTCCATTTCTCAGGCACTGGGTCATCTTTCCAGTTAAATCAACGTCCATTCTGTTGGATGCTCAAAGAGAAGCACAAGCTGTGCCCAACTGTGTTTCGTTGTATAGTGTTCTCAGTGAATATATATTTTTTTATATTTGATGTTTCTTGTTCATTAAGTGGGATCCTTTCCTGTGCAGCTCCAGAGGATCTGCCTCAGTGACATTTGCATTTTATTGTGCTAGCTCATGATGTCTTAACTGTACTGCTTGATAGGGGGTGGTTTTCTACAAATAACATCATTTGTGACTGTTTTGTGCTATATAGAGCTCAGCACTATAGGAAGTATATAAAGTATATTTAAAATGGGAGGTTATTCCATTGCTTGCCGTGTGAATGGACAGATGAACATTTGTCAAACCAGGAACACATGGGAAGTCAAGAGTAATTCTACGATGCATTATAGGGATTCCTAAGTGTTTTAGGAAAGAGTAAATACAAAGTCTTTGAGTGGAGATTTTTTTTATAAGGAAGTGATCTAAGTGACTTTTCCTCTTCTTTTGTCTGCCTTCAGGTCCAGACGTGTTGGCATGTTGGCTGTATTCTTGAAGGTGGTTCGCACTGAGAGTCTTTGGGGCCTTTGGAAAGGGATGTCCCCTGTAAGCCACCTTCTGGGTCTGGGTTCTCTTGCAGCACTTTTCTTTGGTAACCAGTCATGTCTCATGTACCTCACCAGCTCCTTAGAAGTAATGGGAGTATAGTGGTTTCCCCTTATCTGTGGTTTTACATTCTGTGGTTTCAGTCAGTCCCAGACCAAAAATATTAAATTCCAGAGGTAAATAATTTATAAATTTTAAATTGTGTACTGTTCTGAGTAGTGTGATGAAATATCACATTATTCTCTGCTCAGCCCTATAGGTGAATCACCCGTTTTTATAGTCACTTAGTAGCTATGTCAGGAATCAGATTGACTATTGGGGAATCAGTATTTATGTTAAGTAATCCTTATGTGCTTAATAGTGGCCCCAAAATGCAAGAGCAATGATGCTAGCAATTGAGATATGCCAAAGAGAAGCTGTAAAGTTCTTCCTTTGAGTGAAAAGGTAAAAGTTCGTGAGTTAATAAGCAAAGAAAAAAAAGTGTATGCCAAGGTTGCTAACAGCTATGGCAAAAGTGAATATTCTATCTGAAGTTGTGAAGAAGGAAAAAGAAATTCATTCTAGTTTTGCTGTCACATTTCAAACTGCAAAGTTACAGACACAGTGTGTGAGAAGTACTTAGTGCAGATTGAAAAGGCATTAAATTTGTGAGTGGAAGATATGAACAAAAAACTTGTTCTAATTGATAACAGTATGTTGCACCAGAAAGCACTGAACCCAGAGGAAGACTTCGTTCGGCAAAGTGACCCCTGTGATGAATGACAGCAAGCCATTTACTGAAAGTAAGAGATGGTTACATGGATTTAGATAGGTTTGGACTGAAAAATGTAAGACTTACCCAAGAGGTTGTACTTGCTGATGAAATTGCTGCTACATTTCTGGCAGAGTTGAAGAAGTTTATTAAGGAGAAAGCAAGTCTTCAATTTGATGAAGCCAGGCTCTCTTATAAGAAGATGATCTGTATTCGTGAAAGTGTAGAAGAGGCACCATGGCATAAATCATGGAAGGACGTGCTTGATGGAGTGGAAGAACATTGAAGGCCATGGAGATGTGTTAACTAATGAGGAATTGGAAACACTTGTTGAGTCATGAACAGAGGAAGAAGAGGAAGAAACTGAAGCAGAGCCAACAACATGGATATTATTAAAATTTGCTGAAGTGTTTTGAATTGCACAGACATTAAAGGACAAAATTATGGAGAGAACACAGCATTAAAGTCACCCAGTTCATCACCAAAAGATAACAGCCTCTGCAGCAAAACTTGGATGAGTGAGAAAGAGATAACTCTTGAATACAGTGTTCTTCCAAAAGATTTTGGCAAAAAGCCCTTCAACTATCAAAGCTCCCCAAACATTGATATCATCTGCTCCTGACATTGAGCCATTGAGATTGGTGGCTCTATGATCCTCCTTCTGACCTATTGTCAGAACGTCAGTAGTAGCCTTATACTGTGTCATTCACCTCACTTCATCTCATGAGGTAGGCGTTGTCATCTATTATCACAAGAAGGAGGTGAGTACTGTGTAAGCTGTATTGAGGGGGTGGGGGAGAGATCCAGACCAAGTCATATAATTTTTATTACAGTGTTATAATTGTATTTTTATTATTATATTTTATTTATTTATTATAAAAATTACTGTGCCTAATTTATAAATGAAGCTTTATCATAGTTATGTATATACAATATAGGAAAAAACATACTGTTTGTAGAGTTTGATATTATCCACTGTTTCAGTCATCCACTGGGGGTCTTAAAACATATCCTCCACAGATAAGAGGGGACTACTGCACTTCCCACCCATCTCTTGTACTGTCACTAACTTCTGTTTGAGGGCTCAAGGAAATATTGTACTTGTATACCTTGGGTATGATTTGTTAGTGTAGCACAGTCTGCAGCAGAAATAGCTGGCCCACCTCCTCCCTCTGCCTGCCTTTCAGTGTATTCTTGCCCCTTACCACTTCATTGAAAGTGGGCTGGAATCTCACACCTGTATTTCTTTCCCTAATGGCTTTTACTAGCCCTAAGGACTACTTTGCTAGGATTGCCAAGGTGTTAAAACTTACCCCAACCCACATAGTCCTCAACCACTGAATAATGGGTTGATGTTTAAACTTCACCCTCTCCCCCTCCGATGGAGGACTAACTCTGAGGTGTGTTCTTCACGGTTCCCAGAGTTCCCCAAAGGGACTGAGTTGCCCACAGCTGTAACTGCTTTTGTAGTTCATCCTTTATTAGCTGCCATCTCTCCTGTCTCTCTTACCCACTTCCCATTGGTGTTTTCTCTGCACCTTCAATAAACTACTTGCATGCAAATTATCTTGGGATCTTTTGGGGAAACCCAGCTAAGACAGTATCTAATGGTGTTGGCTCTTTGATTTCATTGTTCTTCCCTCTGGCCTTTTCTGCAGTCCATCGTGAGATGTGTCCCTGGCGTTGGAATTTACTTTGGCACTCTCTACTCTTTGAAGCAGTATTTCTTGCGAGGCCATCCCCCTACTCCCCTGGAATCGATCATGCTGGGTATGAGCTCTCGCTCTGTTGCAGGGGTCTGCATGTCACCTATCACAGTGATCAAGACACGCTATGAGGTGAGTTTGATAGCTCTAGGACTGCAGGGTTGGTACACAGAGCCACTGGGTTCTTGGGAAGTGACTAGTGTCAACTCTTGATTTATAGTCCAACTTAGAGTTGGATGTGGTCACAGAACTCATTTGTATAGGCAGGCCAAGCCATGTGTGAGCTAGAGCCCAATAGTGCCTTGGTGACGCTGAATAACCTGAAAAGTCAGCTGGGGTCACTGCTCCAGTGCAAGACCTCTGTATCAGTCACTGGATCTGTGCTCCCTTTGCAGAGTGGAAAATACGGCTATGAGAGCATCTACGCAGCTCTGAGAAGCATTTACCGAAGTGAGGGACACCGAGGCCTGTTCAGCGGCCTGTCAGCAACTCTCCTTCGTGATGCACCCTTTTCAGGAATTTACCTGATGTTTTACAGCCAGACCAAAGGCCTAGTGCTCCATGGTAAGGATAAAGGAAGGTGTGGTGGAAAAGAGGTATCCCTGAGAAATTGAGTTCTTGCTGTTTTATTTGTTATTCTTTTGTTATTCTATTTGTTATTCTTACCAGTTTTAGGATCTGAGCCATACTAAGATTGTGTCGGATTGGGGCTGAGTGCTGGGCCATAAAGGTGGGTGTGACAGACTTGGCCATTGCCCTTTGGAGTTTATATGCTCTTCAATCAAAGAGTACTGATGCTACTATAATTTGGCAGATTGGGGTGGACTGGGTAAGGAATAACATGTGTTTTGCAGAGGTTCTGTAATAGTACATCCCAAAACAGTACATTGTAAAATTCCTGTGTCCCATCCAAGGCCTCCTAGATGAGAAACTTTGGGGTACAAACCTGTGAGGTGTATCTTTTTAGAAGACTTATTGTGATTCAAGTTTGAGAAACACTGATGGATTAGAAGTTTGAAGGAAAAAAAAAATTATTTTCATCCTTGCTGTGTTTCTAGTTAATGTTGTTTTGAGCCCTCCCTTTGGGTAGAGGTAAAGCTGCAAAATCTGAGTTTCAGTTAGGCCCACCTCACCAGTAAGCTTATATTGGACTAGATGTGGGTGAAATCTGTAAGTTGTAAACATCCACCCAAGCAGAGCAAGATGTAGAAAGTTGTTCTGTAGAATGCACCTGCATTCAGTAAAGTGTCTGTGGCTAATTAGGGAAACTGGAATGCCTACCATCCAGACTGGTGATCTGCTGCAGTTAGAATGCTTTGGGAGATTAGCTGTCTCTCCCCAAGCCGCAGGAGGTGTGACCCTGCAGGTCACAGCTTTATTTTATAACAGAAAATTAAGGCAATAAAGCATGGAAGTGAATTTTTGTTTGTTTGTTTGTGCGAGGGATTGAACCCAGGGCCTTGTGCTTGTACTCTATCACTGAGCTACATCCATAGTCCCTGGAAATGTATTTCCCCCCTTTTTATTGGTGCATTATAATTATACATATCAGCAGAATTTGTTATATATTCATACATGCACACAATAAAACAGTATAATTTGATCAATTTTATTCTCCAGTATCTCCCCTTCCTCCCTCCCCTGTTACCCTTCTACTATTCTACTGGTCTCCCTTCTATTTTTTTTTAATTTGTTTTAATTAGTTATACATGACAGTAGAATGCATTTTGACACATTTTACACAAATGGAGCACAACTTTTCATTTCTCTGGCTGTACTTGGTGCAGAGTCACACCCTTGGTGTAATCATACATGTATATAGGGTAAAATGTCTGTCACATTCTACCTTCCTTCACGTCCCTCCCTCCTCTTAATCCTCTCTGCACAATCCAAAGTTCCTTTATTCTTCCGCTATCACCACTATGGATCAGCATCTGCTTATCAGAATACATTTGGTCTTTGTTTTGGGGGGATTAGTTTATTTCACTTAGCATGATGTTCTATAGTTACATCCATTTACCTACAAATGCCATAATTTCATTTTTCTTTAAGGCTGAGCAATATTCCATTGTATATGTGTACCACATATTCTTTATCTATTCATCTGTTGAAGGGTGCCGCAGTCTGGCTGGGCACAAAATCACGAGCCACTCACAGCCTTGTAGATTCAAACAGCAATTCTTTATTCCCGAACTCACACCAGCCCTCTACAAACACGTTCTTGGGAAAATCACGTTCTTCTCCAAAATTCACGTACTCCACCAGGCTTTGAATCCCAAATACTTTCTGAATCCCAACGGGAGCTCAAGGATCAGCGTGCCTGAGGCAGCAGGATACGCCTTATTCCAGGCAGGGTACACCTTAAAACTGGAACCGCCCTAAACCCAAAGAGCAGGATACTCCCTAAAACCTGATCCACCCTAAACCAGGATCCGCCCTGGTCCTTGAGCAAGGTCACCTTACTCAAGCATACATGCAATGTCACAGCGAATGTCCAAGGCAAGTCCATTTCCACGAGTCCTTCCTCTAAGCAACATGGGGTACGCTGGCAAGGAAATTTCGATGCGTCATTCCTACTTGGCAATGGCTCTCAGCAGAAGGGCACCTAGGTTGGTTCCATAATTTAGCAATTGTGAATTGAGCTCCTATGAACATTGATGTGACTGCATTACTGTAGTATGCTGATTTTAAGTTCTTTGGGTATAGACTGAGGAGTGGGATAGTGGGTCAAATGGTGGTTCCAATCCAAGTTTTCTGAGGAATATCCATATTGCTTTCCAAAGTGGTTGCATCAATTTTCAGTCCCATCGGCAATGTGTGAATGTGCCTTTTCCCCCACATCCTTGCCAATACTCTTTATTGCTTGTATTCTTGATAATTACCTTTCTGACTGGAGTTTTGATTTGCTTTTCTCTAATTGCTAGAGATGATGAACATTTTTCTATATGTATGTTGATCGATTATATTTCTTCTGTGAAGTGCTTGTTCAATTCCTTAGCCTGTTTATTGATTGGGTTGTTTGTTTTTTTGGTGTTATGTTTTTTGAGTTCTTTACATATCCTGGAGATTAGTGCTCTATCCAAGGTGCTTGTGGTAAAGATTTTTTCCCATTCTATAGGTTCTCTCTTCACATTATTGATTATTTCCTTTGCTAAGAAGAAACTCTTTAGTTTGAATATATCCCATTTATTGATTCTTAATTTTATTTCTTGTACTTTAGGAGTCTTGTTAAGGAAGTAAGGTCCTAAGCTGATATGATGAAGATTTGGGCCTACTTTTTCTTCTATGAGGTACAGGTCTCTGTGCCTAAGTCTTGGATCCAATTTGAGTTGATTTTTGTACAGGATGAGAGAGTTTTATTTCATTTTGTTACACATGGATTTCCGGTTTTCCCAGAACCATTTGTTAGATAAACCGTCTTTTCTCCACTGTATGTTTTTGGTGCCTTTGTCTAGTATGAGATAGCTATATTTATGAGGGTTTGTCTCTGTGTCTTCTATTTTGCATTGGTCTACATGTCTATTTTGGTGCCAATATCACGCCTGGAAGTGTATTTTTAAATTTTCAATCCATCCTAAAATTTTTTAAATTGGGTATTTAGAAATAATGTTAAACCTATGAGAAAGGCTACAAGAACAATACATTATATAAATCTTTAAATCTTTTGAGAGTAAGTTGTAGACATGACTCATCTTTACCCTTAAATATCTCAGTGTGTATTTCCTAAGAACAAGGATAGGCCCTCATGTAACCATCTATTTTTCCAAATTCAAGAAGTTTAATACAGGTAAAATTCTTAAACACATAGTCCATATTCTGATTTCTCTAATCATTCCAGTAGTGTACTTTGTAGTAATTTTTATTTCCAAGAATAGAGGCCAGTTGCTATACCTAAATTTGGGTTTATATAATGTGTTTTTTTAGTGATTAGATTTAGTTATTTATTTTTAGCAAGTGGACCAAGGATATGATACAGTTTTTATATCAGGAGGCACATGACATTGTGCTTGACCCATTATGGATAACTTGTATCACTTGGATATTAGTTATACCTTTTTCTTTTTAATATTTTTTAGTTGTTGGTGAGCTTTTATTTTATTTATTTATATACGGTGCTAAGAATCAAACCCAGTGCCTCACACATGCTAGGCAAGCGCTCTTCCACTGAGCTACAACCCAAGCCCATTAGTTGCACCTTCAAATATTTAATCCTTAAACTTGTTTGAATCTACATCTTTCTGAATTTGGGGACGAATGAAGGGACAACTTACACTGAGTTTTATCTAATAAATCTGATAAATATGAGATATGTAATTCCATGTTATGTGTGTTCTCTTTCAGACCAGTTGGATGCAGTCTTTATTCCTGTCATAAATTTCAGCTGTGGGATATTTGCTGGTATTCTGGCCTCTCTGGTAACTCAACCTGCGGATGTTATCAAGACCCACATGCAGCTCTCCCCAGTGAAGTTTCAGTGGATAGGCCAAGCAGTAACTATCATTTTCAAAGTAAGACCATAGAATAAGTATAGTTTCTTGTAGTGGATAAGGATCTCTCTCTAAAGCAGTAGTTCCTGTCCTTCATTCATTTGGAATCATTTGAGAAGCTTTTAGAAATCTGCATTCCCAGGTCAAAATCTAGGCCAAAGATATCAGCGATCTGGTGGAAGGGCAGTATCAGAACTATTTTTTTAGGGGCTTGGGGTGTAGCTCAGTAGTAGAGCATGTGCTTAGCATGTATAAGACTGTGGGCTCAACTCCAGCACCAAAAGAAAACAAAAATCAGAAAAGTTTTGTTTAAAGGTCCCAATAATCCCAGTGTGCTGCCAAGGTTGAGAACCATAAAAGCTTATGTGTTTTTGTTTTTGTTTTGAGGGGAGGGGCACCTATATTAGGATCCCCTGTTCATCAACATGCAGATTGTTTGACTATAGCCCAGATCTGCTGAACAGGACGTCTGGGTGGTCTCAGTACTCTAATTAAGGACATAGGAAAAAAGATAGTCAGAAAAGAAGCATACATATTATGGTCTAGCTGTTTGGTCTAATACAAATGGTACTGAAAATAAAATGTTATAAAAGATATAAAAGGCACTAAAGCACTATTTAAAAACCAGTGGATTGGCCATTTTGGAACACAGTACTGTTATCACACACCAGATATTCCTGTTAAAAATAAATGTGAATTTGTGACTCTAATACTGCTCATACCATTTAGGCTGTCGGCTTTCTTATTCTCTGTACATAAAGTCATGAAGTATAACAATAATATATTTTTCAATATATGTGAGATTGCAAATCATTTCAGGTTGTGAGGGAGAAAGAAGAGGTGTTTTGCTAGGTGCAGAGGTACATGCCTCCCAGCGGTTTAGGAGGCTAAGGCAGGAGGATCAGGAGTTCAAAGCCAGACTCAGCAAAAGCAAGGCACTAAGCAATTCAGTGAGACCCTGTCTGTAAATAAAATACAAAATAGGGATGGGGATGTGGCTCAGTGGTTGGGTGCCCCTGAGTTCAGTCCCTGTTACCCCCTAAAAAAATGAAGAGGTGTTTTGCCTTTAATTCTTATACAGATAGGGCTACCAAGAGCACACAGTGAATGACACAAAAAGTACTCCCTCCTGATAGACAAATGGTAAGAAGCCTACTCTTCCTTCAGCCTGTATCCAGGATCCAGGTTTGGCAAACAAACCTTGGCATGGATTTCATCTGCTACTTGGGGCTCAGTGCTTTTGTGTAGTGTACAGACTATACAACTATACACAATAATCTTGCATGACGTAGAGGGCCTGTGAGTGTTGCTCATGGTAGAGAGCATGCTTAACATGTACAAGTCTGGATTCAGTACCTAGCACCCCTCACTCAAAAACATAAAACAAAAAGATTTTTAAGAAATTCTCTTAGATAGAATAGGCTTAAAGCCTAGCAGGTATGCAAAATGATTTTTTTTTTCTTCTGTTACTAGGGATTAAATCCAGGGCTGCTCCATGCTGAGCTACATCCCTAGCCCTTTTTATTTTTTATTTGGGGACAGGATCTTGCCAAGTTGTTGAAGCTGGCCTTGATATGCATCTTTCTGCCTCAGTCTCCTGAATTGCTGGAATTACAGGCATGCACCATCACAGCTGGTCAAAAAACATTTTTTAAAGTTCATTAGTTATCTTTTTTTCCTTTTGTGGTGGTAGTGGAGTACCAGGGATTGAATACAGGGGCACTCAACCACTGAGGCACATCCCCAGCCCTATTTTGTATTTTATTTAGAGTCAGTATCTCACTGAATTGCTTAGTACCTCGCTTTTGCTGAGGCTGGCTTTGAACTCGTGATCCTCTTGCCTCAGCCTCTTAAGCCACTAGGATTACAGGTGTGTACCACCGGGTCTTATTCATAGATATGGCATATACTTTAGAAACTAAGAAACAAGGTAACAGAGACTCTCTGGTGCCAGATGGATAGTTAATTATATTACTACTTTATTTCTGGAGTTTTGACATTTATTTTCATCGTAGGACTATGGGTTGCGTGGCTTCTTTCAAGGCAGTGTCCCCCGGGCCCTCCGTAGAACTCTGATGGCAGCAATGGCATGGACGGTCTATGAAGAGATGATGGCCAAAATGGGCCTAAAGTCCTGATAAAGAGGACCAGGAAAGGGTGGAATCTGCTGTCCTGCTTGGTTCCTGTCAAGCACTGCTTTATCTCAGCATCTGGAGTCTGGTGAAGTGGAAAGCCAGGAAGAAACATGTTTGCCTTCAGTCCCCATTGAAGGAGAGACCTGCCTGGAGGCTTCAGATTCCCAGAAAAGGAGTCACCAATGCACAACACAGCCCACTAAAAAGTTGGGACAGAGGTTCGCACATCCTGCAAACTACTTGAAAGGCATTTCCAGAGAGATGTCTGCCAGGTGGTTCTGCTTTAGCCACCTGCCTACACTATAGCTCCTTGAGCATGTGCTGGGGCAAGGAGTCATAATCCGGAGAAGCTGTAGGCCTCCTTCCATGTCTAAGGAGCTCTACATGGGGAAGACTAGATCTGAGAAGAGACATAGTGATGTCTACCAGGTGAAGACTGTCTGAAGTATACCAGGTGTAAGAAGAAAATATTTCATTTATTTGGTTCCTAATCATCTTCTCAGAGGCTCTGGAGAATGGGGACAGTAACTTCCTAGTCTCTAAATGTCCAAAGAAAAATTTTTGCTGTTGGCCCCTGTACTGTTTCAACTCTAAGCTGTTCTGGCTTTTTTCCACAACTAAAGTTTGGATTAATAAAGTAATATTCTTTATCATTGAAAGCAGTTTGTAAAATTTAAATAGTATATTTATCATTCTGTTTGAAAATAATAAATTAGTTCTAGGGTGGTTTTTAACTTATATAGGTCATTAAAACCTAATTTTTAAAAAATAACCTTGTTTTACATATTATACAATTCATCCATTTCAAGTATACAATTCAGTGATTTTCAGTAACTTTACTGAAAGGTGTAGCCATCACCATAAATTAGTTGTGAACATTTTCATTCCCTAGTAAGATCTCTCATACCCATTCATAATTAGTCTTCATTTCCATCCCCAGCCTACCACTCATCTACTTTGTCTATAAATTCACCTTTTCTGGACGATTCATATAATAATAAATAGTGAAGTCTATTGTATTTAGCTTCTTTCCACTTAGTGTGTTTTTGAGGTTGATTCATGGTGTGACATGTTTGATTCTTTATTCTTTTTTATGCCCAAATAACATTCTATTGTATGCATGTATGGTTGACCTACAGTGTACATGGAGATTTTATGCAGGCCCTCCCATGGATGGTCAACTTCCTTATATAGGATGGCATAATATTTGCATATAACCTACATCATCTTCCCTTATATTTTAAATCATCTCTAAATTACTCATAATTTATATCAAATGTAATATAAATACTTTGGAACTAGTTGACACACTGCATTGTTCAAGGAATAATGACAAGAAGAGTCTATACATGTTCAGTACAAATATAAGGTTTTTTTGTTTTAACCTTTTTAATCACATTTTAGTTTATACATATGTAACTCTAGGACCAGCCAGGCAACTGTGCTTTATTAATCCATTCTTGAATTGAAGAATGTTTGGGTTAATTTCACTTTGAAGCTGTTGTAAATAATGCTGCCATGAATATTCATGTACAAGTGTTGGGATTTTTTTTTTCATTTTTCTTGAGCATATACTTAGGAGTGGAATTACTAGACCAAATGGTAAATGTTTAATACTTTGGAAAGTTTTCAAAAACTGTTTTCCAAAGCAGCTGCACCATTTTACATTCCCAGCAGGAGTGTGTAGAATTTCCAGGTTCTCCACATCCTCTTCAACACTTGTTACTGTCCCCTTCTACTGGGGCTATCAAGTATTTTCTTTCAAATTTAGGAGAGTCATTGCTTTATCCAAGGAGCAGACGGAGTTGTGTGGTCTTGTGGTTATCTTGGGTTCTGATCCACATAGCACTTCACTTAGACATATTGAAATTGTGCCTAGGAAATGGGAATAGTTAATATTTTCTACCTCCTAGGGTGGTAGTGAGGGTTGAGTAAATGTTTCTAGGACATTGTATTAGTGTCATAGGGTTGTATCAACAAGTTAACCATAAGTTGGATCACCAAAACAACATAAATTGTTTCAGTTCTGGAGATAAAGCAGAGCATTTACTTCATGCTCTCTTGAAGGTTCTGGAGAACCATTTCTTGTCTGTTCTTCTGGTGATTGATGGCAATCCTTGGTGTTCCTGAGTTTACACATGCATCACTCTGATCCCCTACCTCTGTCTTCATGTTTTCTTTTCTGGGTATGTCTCTCCATGTCCAAATATCTCTCTTAAGGACTCTAGTCACCCAGACCCAGGACCTCATTTTAGCTTGATTACAAATGCATAACGACCCTATTTCCAAAAAAATTCACATCCACAGCTACTATAGATTAGAACTCCAGCATTTATTTTGGGGGCATGCTTCATCCCATAGCATAAATATATTTAATGATTTATAAGTTAACAATAAGTTTATACTTTAAGTTTTAAATTAAAATGTCCTATTTAAAATAATTTGGGTAGGACTATGGGAGAGCATAAAGCAGTTCCTGGCTTCATAGTGGCACCCAAACCACCAGTGTGGTGATCTCCATGTTGTGAGCCCTGTGATGGGAGAAGCACTTAAGATGTGAAAGACGGGAAGGCAAGTTAGACAGAGTAGCTATCTCTTAAACTTGGGACATGGTAGCTGTTCCATGTCCTCAGGATCTCTTCAGTCTCCTTTGACCCTTGAGGCCAGAAAACCTGTAGGTGAGGGCCCTTGGGGAAGAGGGGCAGAGATGAATCTGGATGTATGGACTTCCCATGTGGATTTGCTGCCTTACACCTGGTGAATTTCAGTCACTGGAGCTCTGGGGTAGTGTTTCGTTTTGCTTTGAGGAGGTAGGAGTGCAAATAAACAGAAGAAATAGCTTAATTTTCTCCAAACATGAAATAAGACTGAAATTTACTGGAAATCCTGATTCCAGTGGCAAGTGGTCCTAGAACACATTCCAAGCCCCAAGGATAACTCACCTTTTCTCTCATGTCTCATGGGTTTGAAGCTCAGAAATGAAGTGACTAGGAGTTCCATCTGGCATTTGAAACTTTGCCTATTGCCCTGTATTGTTTTGTTTCAATTTGAAAACCTGTGTTCCTCATTGAAAAAAAATTAATATACTAGAAAAAGGGGGTGTGGGGAAAGCCAATGACCTTACATCATATGTGGTCCTCAGGTTAACTTCACATAGAATTATCTGGGAGCTATTTGTAAACTAAACAAAAATTAAAAATCTGGGGTTGGGCACTATACCTTTAAAAACTCTCCAAATAGATTCTAAGTGCAACCAGGATTGAGATCTGCTGTATTATTAATAATTTAAATCTTGCTATTTCTTTATGGTAATCTTTTAGTAGCACAGGACTTAAACCTTCATAATCGTCCTCATTCCTAAAAATTATTTTTGGTTTCACAGAACATAACTTCATTATTTTTTAAATATATATTTTTTTTAGTTGTCATTGGACCTTTATTGATACTCAGTGCTGAGAGTTGAACCCCAGTGCCTCACACTAAGTGCTCTGCCACTGAGCCATAATCCCAGTCCAAGTTTCATTATTTTTAAGTGGCTGCATGGTATTGCATTGGATGGAATAAATCTTTATTAATGGCCTACAGATAGAAAATGCATTTTTTTTGTGTGTGGGGGGGTGGGTCTACCAAAAACTAACAACCTCAAGTGTACAATCTTTTTTTTCGGGAAAACTTTCCGTAAGTGAACACTTGAAATCTGAATTACATGCTGGTAATAGTTCCTCAGGTTTTACTTAACACTTAGGCTTGATGTGGTGCACATACTGTCCTACATACAATAAGAGAAACTCAGACGACGAAACGGCCCAAGTTCACCTGCGAGTCGGTAAGACAGTCACACACTTGGCCCGCGGCCGCGTCCCAGCGGTCCAGCAAACATTCTTGACAGGAAATACTGAAGCACGCGGAGCAGCCCGGTTAAACCCGAAAGTCAACCTACCGGTTCACAATACTCTGCGCTTGCGCTGTGAGTCCGCCTTCCGGAGCGGGAAGTCGCGTCCCAGCGTCGCGCCGCTCCGCCCCGCCCTCCTTCCGCTTGATTTTCTTTGCCATTGGTTGATGATGGGCTATATAAGAACGTCATTTCCGGCAGCCTGTCCTTTCCGCGCTACCCAGGAGGGATCCATACGGCGTTGTTCTTGGTGCGTTTTTTTGGGGGGTGCCTCGCGCTTCCTTAATCAGCCTGAACCAGTTTCCTATGCAGATGAAGGGCGCGAAAACTAAAATGAAGGCCCGTGGGGCCTGGGCCGCCTTCCGTCGGCGTGCTCTGCCTCAGGCCTGCGGCCCACACGTGGCTCGGCTCCCGGGCCGAGGTAGGGATCATGGCGTGAGTGGGCTGGGTCCCTTCGCGCCCCAACGGCAGTAAACCGAGACCCAAGAGGCGATCTACACCACCTGCTTGGCTGTTGTGTTTTCTGTTAGCGCCTTGCGGGTCAGGAGTTAAAATTCTTAGCAAGGATTTCGGAAACTAGTGATGGCTTGGGGAAGTAAATTTCTAAACTTAGGGTTACAACCTTCTGGGGGGGGGGAACCTGTTAAGCTGGCATATGCTCAATCATGGCGGCTCTTTTCACATCTAGTTACCTTTGTTCGTAACTTAGCTTTATACTTGTGTACCTTGAGAATCGTTAAATTTAGTTCGCTGGTTTTTAAATTACCTTGGTATTTTGTGATTCATGCTACTTTACAAGATTTGATATGCTGGGCGTGGTGGCTCACACCTGCAAATCCAGCGCCTCCAATGACTGAGGCAAGAGAATTGCAAGTGAGTTTCTAACTCAAAAAGGACAGGGTAGATAACTGAGTGGTGAGCGCCTCTGGGTTCAATTACCGGTACCAAAAAAGAGTTAATTTGCTGTAACTCTTAGTATGCTATGAGTCTGTTAATTTTCTGTCTTGTTCTTTCACTACCTTGTAAGCTCAATACCTGACACTGTAGAAGATGAAATTTGGTTGCATTTAAACTTGAAGTTTAAATGGAGCCACCCCTATTGCTGGTATAGATAGAAAGCATTCCTCTTTCACTTCATTCACACTAGATTGTTAACATTTTTCTTTCAGATTCCCGTCGTAACTTTAAAGGGAAACTGTCACAATGTCCGGAGCCCTTGATGTCCTGCAAATGAAGGAGGAGGATGTCCTCAAATTCCTTGCAGCAGGAACCCACTTAGGTGGCACCAACCTTGATTTCCAGATGGAACAGTATATCTACAAAAGGAAAAGCGATGGTCAGTTACTGCTTTAATTTTTTGTTATTTTAGCTGTAAGTACAAATTTTGACTATGCCTTCTCATGGATAGTACTAAGGGTTTTGGTGGTGGTGGCGAGAAAATATTTTTGAATTCTAGAGGGAAAACTATTGATATCTTAGGTTTGGGGATTTGAAAAGATGTGAAATGTCAAGTACCTTATTTCCTATATTTCCTCCTACTTAAAGGTTTATTTAACTGAATTCTAAGAAGAAAGTACAGCAAAGGGTGGGGATAAGCAACTTTGCTTGGAAACAGAGAAAAGATAGGTTATGGTAACAACCTGGAGTAAAAGATTTAAGCTTGCGAGTGCAGTGTTGTAACTGAGATATAGAATGAGTATGTTATCAATGCAGATAGAAAAGGAAGAGTGGCTAGAGGGCCTGGAAGTGGGTAAGAACTTAGAGAGGAGCCCAGGGGTCCAAAGATTTCTACAGAAGAAGAGAAAGAAAAAGATGGACTTTGCCAGTGCACACTATTAAAGCTCAGGGTGGAGGCCAGTCTTGGCCAGTGAACTTCTGAGTGTCGGAAGTGTGCTACATCAATGGCAGGATTTTCGCTAACACCAGTAGAGTTTATCTCTATGACTGGAGTTGATAGTACTCACTGCCACATACACTCACATTTATCAAAGAATGTGCCATTTGCCTAGCCAGTTCACATGTTTTTAAAAGATCCATCTGGGGGTTTAGCTCTGGTGGAGTGTATATTTAATCTTACTCCAGGCTGTGGATTTAATCCCTAGTACAAAAAAAAAATGTTCTCATCTAGGCATCTACATCATAAATCTGAAGAGGACCTGGGAGAAGCTTCTGCTGGCAGCTCGTGCCATTGTTGCCATTGAAAACCCTGCTGACGTCAGTGTCATATCCTCTAGGAATACTGGCCAGGTATGTGCAATGTGCTTAGTTTTTATGGAAACAAAATAGACAATTATTTCTGGAAGTTCTTTAAGGATTTTATACACTCCAAATATTTACAGATTTGAGTTATTCCTATAGAACGAACTAAGGGACTGCTCTTGCTTGTTTCAGCAAAAATTTACCAAGCATATCTAGCCTGGTCCTGACATGCTAGATCTGTGGGATATGGCAGAAAAATAAATCTGGGACTGGTTACTGATCCCTGGGCTGACCACTAGCCTCTTACAGAAACATGTCATCTGTCTACCATTGCTTTGTGTAACATAGACTCTCCTGTGCTATGTAGACGTTGCCATTTCATGCAGGTAATAGTCTCTGGAGGAGAATAAGAAAGAGGGTAAAGAAAGGTGGTAATGTACTTTTCTTTACATTGGGTAACTGACTAAATTTGACCAGACCTCAGAAATGTTTATTAGGTTCCAAACTGTTCTGTTAGGTGTATGCATTTCTCATAGCTAGTTCCTTTAAGCGAGTAACTTAAAGGCATGTGAATACCTTATCCAAGTCACTGACAAAGTGATTTACTTGGTATTTGAAACCAGGCAGTATAGTCCAGAAGTAGTGGAGGAAGTGAGGTTGAGTGGGAAGAGCATTTCAGGTAGGACATGTAAGGAAGGACCTGAAAAGACTTTTTACTTAACCCAGAATTGTTAGATGCTTTTACGAAAGGGTGATGCTTTCTTTCATTTTTAAGAAAAGGATGTTTTGAAGCTCCCAACTAAATGGGCTGGTTTATGTGACTACAGAATTGACGGATGATGTGTGGTATTATGAAACCATCCCTGGAGTACTTATTGCTAATTCTTCCTTTAATTCTAACAGCGGGCTGTGCTTAAGTTTGCTGCTGCCACTGGAGCCACCCCTATTGCTGGCCGCTTCACTCCTGGAACCTTCACTAACCAGATCCAGGCAGCTTTCCGGGAGCCACGTCTTCTGGTGGTTACTGATCCCAGGGCTGACCACCAGCCTCTTACAGAAGCATCCTATGTCAATCTGCCTACCATTGCTTTGTGTAACACAGACTCTCCTCTGCGCTATGTGGACATTGCCATTCCATGCAACAACAAGGTAACAACTTTACAGTTTGTAAATGAATACTGTAGAAAAGAATTGGAAATTCCTATGCACATTGTTAGAGCTTGGAGTTGAGGCCATTAACTGGCTGATGAACTCGCAAGTGTAGGTAGTGTGCTACATGAGGGGCAAGTTTTTCGCTAACACTCCATTCTGACCTAGTGAGTGGAGTTTGATAGTAATCCTTGCTACAAGTAAACTGTTAATGTATAACAGCAAAGAGAGATGATATTTGGAAAGCAGCCTGTGTTTTCTTAATAACTTTTGGTACCAAGGGGCCTAAATGATATGGGCCAGGTAAGGTGAACAGGGAATTGCTTGCTATTTGGGGTTGAATAGATGTCAACTAATAACCCAGCATACTTGCAGGGAGCTCATTCTGTGGGTCTGATGTGGTGGATGCTGGCCCGTGAAGTTCTGCGCATGCGTGGCACCATTTCCCGTGAGCACCCATGGGAGGTTATGCCTGATCTATACTTCTACAGAGATCCTGAAGAGGTAAGCTTCTTCCGCAAAAGGTTGTCACGTGAGCATTGGGCTACGTTGGTGTATGCTTCTTGGAAACTAAATATGTTGGTTCTTCTAAACTTCAATATGTATATTACCAGATTGAAAAGGAAGAGCAGGCTGCTGCTGAAAAAGCTGTGACCAAGGAGGAATTTCAGGGTGAATGGACTGCTCCAGCTCCTAAGTTCACTGCTACTCAACCTGAGGTTGCAGACGGGTCTGAAGGTGTGCAGGTGCCCTCTGTGCCTATCCAGCAGTTCCCTACTGGTATGTATCCAGGGAACTTTTAAATTTTTAATCTCAGGAAATTATGTTAGCATTAAGAGGTTTTTAATTAGTGTGCTTATCTACAAATAACCTTGCTGTTGAATTCAAGTGTTTTTGGAATGTTAGCCTTAGTCTTTGTCTTTGGTATATTGTGTGAAAGAAGGCCATGAGTATCTGATAGATGGGTTGTTGGGCAGAGTGGGGATAGTAGTACTTTTCGGGACAGAGCTAATGGCTTTTTGGTATTTTTCTTAACAGAAGACTGGAGTGCCCAGCCAGCCACTGAAGACTGGTCTGCAGCTCCCACTGCTCAGGCCACTGAGTGGGTAGGAACAACCACCGAGTGGTCTTGAATTGTTCTGCAGTCACACATTAATAAGCAAGGTGGAAATAAGGAGAATAAGCACCAATTTACGGAGAATAAACAACCAATTTCTAAAAGTTTTGTCTATTTCAGTTTAATTCTAGATCAAAGTGTTTAAGATTCTCTTAACACCTTTTGCTGGGAGTTTTTCTGAATTTTCTATTACAAGAAACGTGTCCTGAAAGTGGACTTCCACTATCATTTATATTGGTGAAATTTTTGAGAACCAAGATAGTAAAGTTTTCACTTACCTTGCTGTTTACAATTTGTGCAGCTTGTGCCCAAGTGACTGGCATCTGCATACCTGTGTTGGGCAAACTTGGGGGTTAGTCTTACTGCTGAAATCCATGAAGGGGCCATGATCTTCCCAACACTGAGACATTTCCTTTCACCTCAGCAGTTTGCCTACAGGCTGTGGTGGGGAATGTTTGTATTATGTTTCTTGACCATTTCTATATTCATATGTTGTCTTCTTGAGGAATTTATAAAAAACGTTCATGTGACTACATTTCCAGGACCCCTTCTCATGGTGCTGAGGCCATGAGGGAACTGGACCCCTCCATGCATAAGCTCTGCATAACAGATCAGTCTGCTGTATGCCTGGCTGGGGGTTTTAAGTATGAAGGGTGCTCAAATTTGATTTCTGGAACCACATTACCAGTCAAGGAAAGGTAGCCCAAGTACATTGGAGTGGGTGCCAAGCGCTCTACCCAGGATGTGGTATCAGCAAATTATGATTGGAGGTGGTTGACAGCAAGCAGGTTAGGAAAACCCTAGTGTTATGGAAAACACCCTACCAAAGGTGAGACCCCATGTGGTAAGTGACCACACCTCCAGTTTCAACCTCTCTAGCCTTATGTCCCATAGGGACCTAGTGAACTTGAATTTTATGTGTATGCCCTTGTTGGCAGTTGTGTTTGGCATGGAGGAAACTAGGAAATCAAGATGGGAGGTTATATCTTCTTGACTGTTTAGCTGGGTTTAGATTCCCCTGGGGTCTCAAAAGTCTGTCTCCCTTTATCACCAACCACCTACAGATAACTGGCAAGGTGGTCAAGATTCTAGTCAATTCACTTTTCTAGGATCAAGCAACCCCATAGCTGCAGAGCCAGTTCCTTCAAGCCAACCAGCCATTTTTTCCCCCTTGTACTGGGAATTGGGGCTCAGCTCATACTTGCTGGTGGGAATATAAATTGGTGCAGTTTTATGTTATTGAGGAACATTAGCATTGTCACATGTGGGGGCATATATTAAAGAAAGGCATGGCTGTTTGCACTGAGACAAATATACATGAATGCTAATTGAGGGGCTGGGGATATAGCTTAGTTGGTAGAGTACTTGCTTCGTTCGCATGCACAAGGCCCTACTTTCAAACCCCAGCACCACCCAAAAAAAAAAAGATTCTAAATAAGAGGCCCATCTACAATGCTAACTATTGTATACAGGGCCTGGCAACAGTGAACATGAACAATGTACAGCAACACACGGTGACTTGCCTGAATCTTAGAACCTTGGACAAAGGAAGCATTACAGAAAATTATTCATAATATGTGATTCCAATTGAAAAAAGTTAAAAATGGGTAAAGGCAAGCCGTATTCTTTATAGAGATGTCTCCCTTGGTCTCAATTAATGAAATGTCTAATTTTGGGGTAAAAAGCAAAATATTCAACAAAATTCATTCAAAAAACTTAGGAATATGTGGAAGATAAAATGTTTAAATATCAACTTTACAACATACAAATGTCTCTCATCCCACAGACTATCTTACAATATGCTATTGCCACTACCCCATGGGTGGAATCTATGTCCTCTCCCTGTTAACCTGAGTATAACTTTGTGATTCTCTTAATAAGAGTCAGTGGAAGTTTATGTGATTTCCAAGGGTTAGAGCATAAAAGTGCCATTCCCTTTTGTCTGGATCACTTGGGACATTTCTTCTTGGAAACTGAGCAGAGATCTACATGAAGACCAAAGTCCCCAGTCCCTGGTCAAGATCCCAGCTGAACTCCCTGCCAAGCGTTGGCACTAACTTGCTAAGTGAGTGATGTGTATTGAAAGGGTTGTCCAGTCTCAATTCAAGCCATCTCGGCTGATGCCATGTGGAACACACGCAAGTCATTCCTGTCAAACTGTGTATATTTGTGGGAGAAAAATAAGTGTTGTTGCTTTAATCAATTTAACGTTAGGAGAAGTTTGTTAACTGAAGAATAGATAAGACATGCCTACTGTCACTTTAATCATACCAATGAACTTTATTGGACAATGCAATTGGACAAGAGTAACTAATTATAGAAGCCAACTAGCTTCTCCCCTTAAAATTTACAATAAGCATTATCCATGGTATTATAGAAAAGTAAACTCTCAAGCTTTTGTAATATGACTACTCAACGATACATACTGAAAACTAACCCTGTGTCCTGGGAACATGGGATCTGATGGAGCTAGAAACCTTCCCCATCCTCCAGGACCTTACTCTGTAACTTGGAGAGAGACAGGTATTTGTCAAATGAAGGTGATCAAAAAGGTCACCAAACAGTATTAACGTCATTTGAGATTAAAAATGTAAATTGACTATAGGAAAGATGCCAAGTTCTCATATAATTTTTAAGCTGGCTCCAGAACAAATTTCCAGTGAGAAGTCTTGAAGCATGTTTTGAGCAATGACAGCATTGCTAGTATTCACATGTGAATCCTCTAAAGAGCAATGTTGCTTTGCAAGTATGGTCTCTAATTTAGGGGCCAGTCATGAAATTTTTTTAGTATTTATATTTTAGTTATAGGTAGACACAATGTTTTTATTTGGTGCTGAGGATCAAATCCATTGTCTCACACATATGAGGCAAGTAAGTGCTCTACCTTTGAGCCACAACCCCAGCCCCAGTCATGAAACTTTATCCATATTTCTTAAAACTTTGCTAACAGATTCAACCTGCTTTTGATGTGGATATTCAGGAAGAGACTGCAAGGTTTGGATTGTAAGAAGTGGTTCTCCATGAACTGGAAAGTTGGTCAAGGTAGTATCAGTCCATTTCTGCAAGCAACAGTCAATGCAAATCTGCTATTATCCTGCTAAAATCTGCTATCAGACATAGTCTCCCATACATAACCACTAAAAACTCTGGGAAATGTATTTAAAAGGACTGCTAGAAGATAGTGGAGAAGAACAAAACCAAGTAGTTTCTGGAGGGAAATTGCCCCTTAGAACAGAGTCACTAGGCAAATTTCCTATCTTTTATAGCTTTATCCTTTGGTCAACCTCAGTCCAGCCCAAGTAAGGCAGCTAACCCTGGAGAGAGACTGGTGGTTGAGCAACCAGAAGTAGATTGAGGCAACTTAATAAAAATCACCTTAATCCCCAATCATGAAATTCATATGGAAAAATGAAAGACCCAGAATAGCAAAAGCAATTCTAAGCAGGAAGTGTGAATCAGGAGATATAGCGATACCAGATTTCAAACTGTACTACAGAGCAATAGTGACAAAAACAGCATGGTACTGGTACCAAAACAGGCAGGTGGACCAATGGTACAGAATAGAGGACACAGAAACCAATCCACAAAATTACAACTATCTTATATTTGATAAAGGGGCTAAAAGCATGCAATGGAGGAAGGGTAGCATCTTCAACAAATGGTGCTGAGAAAACTGGAAATCCATATGCAACAAAATGAAACTGAATCCCTTTCTCTCACCATGCACAAAAGTTAACTCAAAATGGATCAAGGAGCTTCTTATCAAATCAGAGACTCTGGATCTGATAGAAGAAAAAGTTGGCTCCGATCTACATATTGTGAGGTTGGCTCCAAATTTCTTAATAGGACACCCATAGCACAAGAGTTAAAAACAAGAATCAACAAATGGGACTTACTCAAACTAAAAAGTTTTTTCTCAGCAAGAGAAACAATGAGAGGAAATAGGGAGCCTATATCCTGGGAACAAATCTTTACTCCTCACACTTCAGATAGAGCCCTAATATCCAAAGAACTCAAAAATTTAAACAATAAGAAAACAAATAACCCAATCAACAAATGGGCCAAGGACCTGAACAGACACTTCTCAGAGGAGGATATACAATCAATAAACAAGTACATGAAAAAAAGCTCACCATCTCTAGCAGTTAGAGAAATGCAAATCAAAACTACCCTAAGATACCATCTCACTCCAGTTAAGATTGGCAGCCATTATGAAGTCAAACAACAACGAGTGCTGGCGAGGATGTGGGGAAAAGGGTACACTTGCACATTGCTGGTGGGACTGCAAATTGGCGTGGCCAATTTGGAAAGCAGTATGGAGATTCCTGGGAAAGGTGGGAATGGAACCACCATTTGAGCCAGCTATTGCCCTTCTTGGACTATTCCCTGAAGGCCTTAAAAGAGCATACTATAGGGATACTGCTACATCGATGTTCATAGCAGCACAATTCACAATAGCTAGACTGTGGAAACAACTTAGATGCCCTTCAATAGAAGAATGGATTTAAAAAAATGTGGCATTTATACATAATGGAGTATTACTCAGCACTAAAAAATGACAAAATCATGGAATTTGCGGGGAAATGGATGGCATTAGAGCAGATTATGCTAAGTGAAGCTAGCCAATCCCTAAAAAACAAATGCCAAATGTTTTATTTGATATAAGGAGAGCAACTAAAAACAGAGCAGGGAGGAAGAGCATGAGAAAAAGATTAACATTAAACAGGGACGAGAGGTGGGAGGGAAAGGGAGAGAGAAGGGAAATTGCATGGAAATGGAAGGAGACCCTCATTGTTATACAAAATTACATATAAGAGGATGTGAGGGGAAAGGGAAAGAAACAAGAGAGAGAAATGAATTACAGTAGATGGGGTAGAGAGAGAAGATGGGAGGGGAGGGGAGGGGGGATAGTAGAGGATAGAAAAGATAGCAGAATACAACAGACACTAGTATGGCAATATGTAAAAACGTGGATGTGTAACCGATGTGATTCTGCAATTTGTATTTGGGGTAAAAATGGGAGTTCATAACCCACTTGAATCAAATGTATGAAATATGATATATCAAGAGCTTTGGAATGTTTTGAACAACTAATAAAAAAATCAACTTAATCCCACTAGCACTCATTGCCAATCATATCAAACGAGGAAACAAATCTATCTATGCTCTCACATGTACAAGGATGGTAATGTATACCTGATAGTAAGGATAAAGGACACCTTTGTGAAATGTCCAATCACAGGGTGCAGCATATGGCAGGCACACAATGAATGTGTCCTTCCTTTCTTCTCAGAAACAATAGTACCACTTTCAGAGTTCAGATTTCACATCCCCAAATTCCTCTGTTGGCCCTTGTCTGAGATTTGTATTGTCTAATAAAACTTATAACAAGGATGTCTGTCTCTGGATGATGGTTCCACAACTGCTTTTGACCAGAGAGCCTTCAAATATGAAATCTTAAGGTCCAGATATTGCTAGAAAAAAAGGAGGCATGAAGGAATTTAGGTAGAACAAAGTAGCTTGGTCCTCACTGATTTGGCCATAAGCACATAGCTGTGGGGTGAGAACTTGCTGGGCAGCCAGCAAGGCATTCTGAGCACTCTGTGCTGGTACAGGGAAGATAGCAGTAGGCTAAGTTCTCTCCTAGGAAATCATTTTCTGGAAGAAGGAGATGGTCATATGGGGTTGTGAAAGGTTGACAGTGTTCCCTTTAAGATATAAATCCTAGGCTTTTTTTTTTCTTAATTAAAAAAATTTTTTTAGAAGAGTAAACTCAGGAGCACTGACTACAGAGACAGAATTATAAAATCGATTTCCCCTTAGTTGATTCTTGAATTCAAAATAAAAATGTGAAAAGACCATTTCTCAAGACCTTACCTTGAATGTTCCTCAGCACCATTTTCAGGCTTCAGAAGTTCCTGAGTCCTGCGGATCATCCCCAGAGAAGGTTGGTCCTGTGAGTCAACTGTGGAGTGACTTGAAGCAGAGCACCGATGGAGGAGGGGAAGAGGGCAGGATGCCGAACTCCCCCATTCTCATTGGGGGAACGTTGTACTAATGACATCCTCCAAAATCCATGAGGAGATCTTCTTAGGCCCATGTCTGGATGGTGCTAAGGGACCCGGGAAAGTTAAGACACTGCCACAACTGCAGATGGAGAAGGAGAATTATTAAAAAGTGTCCTAGGGAACAGCGGGACTAGCCAAACTGAAGATTCTCCTACCACTCCCCCAAAGATTCCTAGCATTTCCAGAATTTAAAAGATTCTCCAAGTGATTTTGATAAAGGAGATCTGTGTAAAAAAATGTTAGACAACACTTCCTTAGAGACCCTACTGGTCTTCCTCTAGGCTTGTGTGCAGAGTAAAGGTCAAGACAGAGAAATGCGGATGGAATGGGGAGAGAACCAAGAAATGGGATCTAAAGCTTTGAGTGGCATGTAAGGTTATCTCCTGCTATCAAAATTAATAGCACTTTAGCTCAAGACCTAGGATCAGATGGCAGCATGCCGGGAGCTGGGAGTGCCCAAATGGTCTGTCTCTTAGCTGGGTCTTTTGGGGGGTGTTGGACCATGTCTTACAGATTTCCAGGAGCAGTAAGAAATTTTCCAGTTTCTTTTTGCATCATTTTTGCTATTGTTCCATTGATCATTGCAACTCACCTTCCCAAACCCAGTAACAGGATTTGAAGTAACCCAAGAGTGTGCATATGGGAAGGGATGAGCAAATACACCCACAGAAAAATGAGAAGACCCCAAAGGGGACCAACCATCAAATAAAAGGGAGTTCCCTGACATGGGTTAGGTAGGTGATCGAGGCCTGAAAGCAGAGACCAGACCTAAGCCACCTAGATCACAGCTCTCTCGGGTGTTACCAGAAATCAGAGGTATCAGAAGCCAGGAGTGTCCCTGCACAGGTTCTTCACAACCTCTAGAACTGTAGCCTGTGTTCAAACAGGTAGGGAAACAGCCCCAGTATGATGGGAAATTGTGTCCAGTCCAGCATCCCCAAGCTTCTCCTGGGGACACAGAGGTTCGTCGATGGCCCTGTGCAGACGTGGCTTACGACTTGGGGACAAGCTGAGCCCCTGGCAGTCCGGATCAGACACACTCCATGTAGGCCCTGGGCCTGCCTTGGGCCCTCACCCTGTCGCCTGCAGAGGGGGGCTGAGGCAGCGGGCTGTGCCCCTCGGGAGGCCTGTCTCTCCCTCCTCAGACTGAGCCTTGGCCACCACCTGGCTGAATCTGCAGAAGCCCAGGCAGTTGGGGGCTCCGAGTCAGGTTCCTCCCTACCCTGGGTCGCCAGACAGGGTGAAGACCACAGGGCAGGACGCCAGTGGGCGGGTGTCCCCACGAGCCTACTCCTGGACTCCCACCTTCTGGTCCCTATTGTCCTGCTCCACCGCCCTCGCAGCAGCGTGTCTGGCTTCCCTCAGGGCTCGAAGCCCCGCCCCAATATCCCCCAGCCAGCCCCCAACGGTCACTGGTCAACTCCAACTGCCCTCGCTTTGCCCCAAGGACCCCACCTCCCTCCACCTGACCTCCCAAGGTGCCCTTGGATCACGTGCCCCCCTGCTGGGCGGGGCTGGCGCTGGGAGGGTTCTTTTGGGGGGTTTCAGCAGGCCGGGGGTTAAATAGGAGCTGACAGGTGTGTGTGTGTGTGTGTGTGTGTGTGTGTGTGTGTGTGTGTGTGAAGGGGTGGGGTTGGGCGAGCATTGAAGCTGAGTGCAACAGGGGTGTGTAATCCCGTGGAGGACCTGGGAAAGGGCCTTAACCTTGAGAGCCTTAGAACTGGAGGCCCGGTGCAGAGGGGTGATGCTGGGGAGGAAAGCAGAGGTGAGATCATGAGGCCTCGGTGCTCTGATGAAGAGGGTTTGGGGTGCAGTGATGTGACGGATGTAGGGTCTTGGGGTGAAAACAGGACTGTGGATATGCTTTGTCCTTCGTGGTGGTCTTTCCCTTTATAGCTTCCCAGTATCCACATAGTTGCCCCGAATTCTTTCTGCTACTCCTCAGACTGGCCCCATCTTCTCTATCCCAGGATCAGGGAGTTGAAGGGGTACTTACATCTTGAAAAAAAAAAAAAAAACATCACTGAAATAGAAGAAAAGGGCTTTGAGAGTTCAGCAGGAAGTGCCATTCCTTCATACACCATAAATAAACGGGACTTATAAATCATATAAAAATTCGGGCTGGTTCTGTGGCTCAGAGGTAGTTTACCTGCCTGGTATGTGTGAGACACTGGGTTCAATTCTCAGCACCACATAAAAATAAATATAATAAAATAAAGGTCTATCAACAACTAAAAAAAATTATAGCAAAATTCCCTTGATCATAGAAACATCTCTGATTTCTCCATTTTCCATTAATATGAGAAAGTGATGGTGGTCAAACTATAGAGAGTGAACTCTTGATCCTGGTTATGCCAATTTAAACCATGTAACTAACATCATTATAATGAATCTCCATTCCAGCATCCTCAGGTTGACAGTGGAAACCTAGATCTGGTCCCCTGGCCTAGGTGGGTGCCATCAAAACCAGAATTATATCTCTGGCTTGCACAGACTAGTTGAATCTACAAATGTATATTTCCTGGCTTTTCTTCCTATAAATTGTAACCTTTTTGGAGAAGTGGGAAGACATAGTAGCTGTCTTCCCAGTTTTGGCCAAACTGCAATTAAACTCATTTTTTTTTTCTATTTATGTCATTCTGTCTTATTTCTGGCAAGGGCAGGAGATGGAGTCTAGTTCATTATGTGTATCCTAAATGCATGAATCATTCACAAATTTTCAGAGTCACTGACAGTGCTAAATTCTTGTGGTAATAATATAATCAGTTTCTACAGAGTTGCAGGAAGCTCTCCTGAGCCTTGGCATTTGTTATGGTTTGGATATGAGGCATCCCCCAAAAGCTCACACGTGAGACAATGCAAGAGGGTTCAGAGGAGAAATTATTGGGTTGTGAGAGTCTTAACCCAATCAGTGAATTAATCCCCTGATGGAGTTAATTGAGTGTTAACTGAAAGGTGTGGATAGAGGAGCTGGGCACTGAGGGCTTTGAGGAATATATTTGTATCTGGCAGTTGGAGTCTCTCTCTCTGTTTTCTGATCATCATGTGAGCTGTTTCCCTCTGCCACACTTTTCTGTCCCACCTTAAGCCCTAAGGAATGGAGCCAGCCTTCTATGGACTAAAACCTCTGAAACTGTGAGCCCCTAAGTAAATTTTTCCTCCCCTAAAATTGTGCTGGTTGGGTCTTTTAATCACAGCAGCAAAAGGTGACTAAAACAGCACCCAAAGTTCTTATTGGTGCCGGGTCATGTAGATGTGGTTGATGTCCACCCACATGGATGATCTTCAGTCTTCTGCTCCCTTTAGTTATCATTAGACTACTTGGTGTGTCTAATCAACAAAGACACTCATAATTTGGCAAGACTCTCCAGGAGCTTAAAGAGCACCCTGCAGAAGCCCAGGGCAAAGGTCAGACTTCTCTTTGGTAAGATTAATTCTTTATTACACAGTTAGCTTAGTTAATGGCAACATATAAATTATTTTCAATTCTGGGGCTAGGGTATAGCTCAGTGGTAGAGCACTTGCCTAGCATATGTGAGGCACTGGGTTTGATCCTCAGCACCACATAAAAATAAACAAATAAAATAAAGGCATTCTGTCCATCTACAACTACAAAAATTTTTTTAAAATTATTTTCAATTCTATATCATTTTCTATTTTTGAATTACTATTTCTATTCTCTTTGTTTTCCTTGCTTCTGTGATTTTTTTCAGATTTCATGTGCTGTATTTGAACTTGAAAAATATTACCAATTCATATATTTTTGTTCACTCTTGTTTAGCGCTGTGTACAATGAATTTACTAAAAATTATTATAAATTTGCTTCATTGTTACTGTTTTTCAGGTAATTTGCTGTTGTAGTTTGGAGTTATTCTTTGGTCAAATGTTGTTTAAAAGTACTTTTTATGAGTGTTGAATTTTATTATTTATTTTTATTAACATTACATTGTCAGTGAATTCTGTATTCCATATTCCTTTTAAATTTTGGAGTTAAAGTTTTCTTTGTGATATAAGACAAAGTTGAATTTGGGAAATGAACATTTCCAATGTACATGAACATTTGAAAGGAATATTCTAGTAATTAGGGAGTAGAGTTTCATATATAATTAGATAAAATTATTAATTATATTTAAATAATATGCCACTCATTAATTTCTGAGGTTCGACAGAAACAAGCTAAAGTCTTTTGCTGTTATTAACTTTTTCTGAATTTTTTCTTATATCATATATAGTTCATATATTTAGATGCTAATGTGAACAGAGGTGAACAGAGGTTTGTTTTCTTACTACTCAGCTTTAGAAAAGAAGAAAATTCTTGTTTGCAGTGATATGGATGCAATTGTAGAACATTGTGTTAAATTAAATAAACCTGGCACAGAATACTGCATGTTTTCAATTATATGTGAAATTGAAACAGTCAAACTCATGGAAGCAGAATGGAGTGGTGGCCTCCAGAGGGTGGGTGGGGAAGAAGATGATCAAAGGGTACAAAGCCTCAATGAGGAGGAATAAGAGGTTTTTTGAAATCTACTTCAGAGAATGGCAAATATAGTCAATAACAGTTTATTGTAAATTTCAAAATTGCTAAGAGAGTAAGTTTCAAATCTTCTTACCACAAAGTATTTGAGGTGATGAATATGTTAATTAGCTTGATTTAATGATTCCATATTATATTCATGAATCATAACATCACTTTGTATCCCATAAATATGTGTGATTATAATTTGTTAATTTTATAATAAAATAAAAAGCAACAAAAAAAGATTTCTATTCTTCTATTTCCACTGTGGAGCTTACAAAGTATTCTCCTTTTCTTTATCTGACATTTTTTCCTTTTAACTCAACTGCATATCAACTTCTTCTTTTATTTAACATGTGTGGCATTTATTTAAAAATTATCTGAGTTTCTTTTTTTATATTAAGTTTCTAGTAAATTTCTTTATTCTTATGTTTCATATAATTTTAAGTTTTTTTAAAAAAATACATATTTGTATTTGTATTTATGTCCTTTGATTTTAATGTATAAAAAATTCTTGAGTAAGCCATTTCTACATGCCAGATAATGCAGTGATATGAGGGATGTAGGGTCTTGG